CACAGGTGAAAAATATTTTAAAACTAGTAGACGCCAGCCATCTGTTGCACGAATGGACCGGCTTGCCCAGAGCAATATTACGACCTCACAGAAGATACGCTTCAATTGGAAGTAGTGTACAGTCTACTGAATGTGTGTGTCAATAGCCTTTTTGTCTTTTTTGATAAGAAGGGGATTGGGATTTGATGGAGCAGGTGACACATAGGAAGGGGAAATATTCTCTTTCGGTGCGTCCCATGTCAAAACAGTTGCTAAAATATGTATTGATGTTATACATAATTGCTATTAAAACTATTAATATTTATTATTTTTTCTCAATGACAAATGAATCGAGTAATATTCGCAGTTATTCCATATATTTTATTGCAGTAGAGAAAGTGTTTATAATTTTTTTTGTTACAGTAATGGTATAGAATTAAATGAACAGCTGACAAATGGAGAAGAAACCAGCCCAGGCTTTAGCGGGGGCTTGATTGAAGAACTTGCCAGTCTTTTCGAAGGCGAACTGAAACCTGTCGCACCTAAAGCGCAGAAGAAAGTGCCCATGCCCGCTGAGTAAGTTTCTTTAAATAATTTTATAATTTAATTCGTGTCTTCATCTTATATTATTGTCATGTTCGTTACGTTACCAAAGACTACAGATTTTTCGTCGAATAGGAAAAAATGTATGTCAAACACGATGATTGAGTTGGTGCAAGGTCAGGAGACTACTACGCTTATTCTTACCGTACGAAATTTATCACTATGTTCCATCATATTGCCTTTTTTACATGTTCATGGTAATGTTGTTACATTTCAGCTTGGATTTGGAGAAGTGGATGTGTCGCGAGCGGTGGTCCTCGGAGAGCTCCAGCTCTGAGGACGAGGGCGAGGCGGGGGCTGGCGCGGGCGCGGGCGGCGCCGTGTTCACTGCGCCCGCGCAGGAGCCACGCCCACTCTCGCATCTCACGCCCGAAGAACTCCATATGGTATTGACTTTTTATAATTCTGCTTTTTAATTTTTTTATATTTTATTTAAGTCGACGAACAGTTAAAGTGTTTATTTACAAGATTAATTGTTATTGCTTGTGAGACTTTGTTGGTTATCAAGATAAAACTGAACATTCTTTGAGTAATCGAAGAATTTTATTATTTTTTTGTGGTTAAAGTTCCAACCTTTTTTCGTTTCAACTAATAAGCTTAAGATTATTGTAATGTGATGCAGTTGCGCGAGGCGCGGCGACAGGAGCAGGCCAACAACCCGCACTACCTGAAGGACGACTCGCCGCGCTCCTACCAGCAGGACGACGTCGCAGTGCCCGTCGCTGAGTTAGCCCTAGAAGTGCCCCTCCACATACACTGTGAGCATATTTCTAGTATCTCTACACTTCTAGACAACAGTAACATCTATTAGCAATACCATGAGCATACAGAACAAGGCGTCAAGTGGAAGCAACTCCGCGTACAGTCTGATGAGTACGCGTGCTGGTGGCCTAATAATGAGTCGTCTTTACTTTACCCTTTTTTGTAGAAGAAAAGGACGGGAATTGAATTTGACGGAGGAGGGGGACACATAGAAAGGGGAGATACTCTCGTAACGTTCCCTCCTCTTTAGATTAAAAGTAGCGAGTCTACAATTGCAGATGTCTATGGGGAGCGGTCGCTTCGCCGTTTCGGCGAATTCAAATCATTACACTTTTTCTTTGTCATTTTTTTCTTAATAAAGAGACCGATTTTAGTTGATATTTATAAAACATGATAATAATATAATTTTTTTTCCAGCTAAGAGATCTGATAAGTACTTAAAGGAAAGCACCAAAAAGACAAAGAAAGAGAAGAGGCCGATGAAGAAAAGGAAAACTAAACAAGCCGACAGACATTCCACAGATTCCGACAGCGATGGTAATTTCATTTTTAATATATTCTCATATTTCTTTATCAAAAATGTAACGTTGCACTACACAACTCATATTTTTTTACACTTAGAATTACCACAAAAATGAATACCTCGTTTTATAAGGCAATCTGAATGTGCAAAAATATGCCAGTTCTAAAATTGTGACAACCAATATTTCAATGTTAATGTTTTATGTTTAAGTTTTAACTGATGTTAATCTACATAAGTTTAAAGTTTATATTACAACTTTTTATTGAAGTTAAACGTGATATTTGCAGAAGAAGCGGAGCGCATGGTGCGGCCCGCGGTGGAAGAGGGCGGCGAGCTACCCGAGGGCGCCGCGCCCAGTGACGACGAGCCTACGCGCGATGACCCCCACCGCGCCCTCGACCTTGACCTCGACCTGTGAGCATTCATCCATCATCTCTCACCCCCGACCCCCTGCTGCAATCCCTCTCCCCCCTGATTATAAATCACAAGATTGTGTTGTATGGAATTGCCTAGAATTTCATATTTATTGTATTTCAGTATTTTTACAAGCTTTACTTATAATTTAGACTTTAATCAAAAATTAATTAACGTTTCATAATCTTCTTTAATTATCCCAGGCCACTGCGCGAAGAAGAATTACTTGCAACTAGAATACAGCAGTACCCATCGCCGGACGGCGGTTTGCTCGAGAAGAAGAAAACTTCCAAAAAGAATAAAACAAGCTCTAAAAATTCGTCCGATAAAATCTCAAATAAGAAGAAGGAGAAGAAAGCGAAGCGTACTAAAGACTTAGATTTAATGTTACCTGAAGTTGATAAGAATGATGTACCAGAAACTACTTTCATAGAGGACTTTGAGCAAGGTAAAGAGAGCGCCGAGACAGCCGCCCTCGCGAACACCGACAACGAATGTCGCGACCAACACAAGAATAAGACTGACAAACACAAGAAAACTAAGAAAGATACTGACAAGGATAGAAAATCTAAGAAAACAAAATCAGCGAAAAAAGGTAAAATTTAATAGAATTGTTACATCCGACTGGATAAATCTTTTTACATTTAGATTTCTCTACTTTGAATATTAAACAAAAAATATAATTTAAAGTACGAAAAACAAATCAATAACAATAGAAAACCGCGGAGAAAGATGGGAAGGTTTTCTGGGCAATTAAAATCTACTGAAACTGTATTTAAAACACATATTACTCCATACAACATTGTAAGGCTGCCACATTTACAACTGCTGTGTATGATAACAATTACTTACTATGACTATGTATGGATGTATTTTGCAGAAAAACAGGAGAGCAAGCGCGGCTACGAGGAGGCTGTCGGTATCTCCACGCCCAGCAAGGAGGCCGTGTAGTACGCACATCTACTCCTACATACTAACCTCTCTCAGTGCAATCTTGCTAACTTTTCACGAGGACAGGACAGCTGCATAGAGCAGTAAACAGTGCAATACTACTACTGTTTTCACGCAATCTCTATGTTTAAAACAAAAGTAGTACTGGACTGCCCTCGTGTGAAAGTGGCAAAGTGAATTTCAATACTCGTAACACATTTATAATAACACTATTGTTATTATACAGGTGTTACGACAGTGGAAACTCACTATTTATTTGAACAAGTTATGTTTTGTTACTAGTATCATTACAGGCATTGCTTTCATTCCTCTCTCTAAGTGAAAACGTGTCCATTTAAATGTTATATTTAAATATTTCTCTATGATTGTAGAGTAAATTATATTATGTATAATCATGTACAGTTTTATTAAGATTGAGATATATGTAATAAATAACCTTCATTTACTCTTTTATATCGTTCAACAGATCTCTTTTGTGTCAAAACGCTCCTTGAAAATAATACAAATTAATAAAAACATAAACAGAAATGAAAAGTTATATTGATAGGAAAATATCTTAAAAAATAGTCTCACAATTATTAATAATTAAGGAATTAAAGAGTATGTTTATTAGCATATGAAAAAAAAACATCAAACTATATAAATAACAATATAACTCAAACTGCTCAAAGAATTAATACATTTTAAAATTCTAGTAAAGAAAGAAAAATATTACAACTAAATGTATAATTTATTGCAAATGGTAAAGTGACAACCAATATTATAATATAAAAAGCCTTATTAATGTAGTCTATTTAAAATTTATCAGAGTAATCCATCACTCGGGCAAGGACCTGACCGACCCCCACCTCCCTTGCTGCTGCCCCTTTCCGCACCTTTCTTGTAGGTAAGATGGACCTTGGAACAACCATTATCTTATTTTAATTCTGAAATAATTTTCTACAAAAAATTCCTACAAACTTAACAAACCCAATACAATAACTAGTGTTTAAATAACTCTAAATATGTTAATTCTTCTACATGTTTTCATGTATTCAATACTTTAATTCCTTTTGCCTTCGGCTTACCTTGAAATTAATAAACATACAGATATATCTCGAATTAACTTTACCCTTTATAATACGCATAAATAATTAAGCCTTTGTTCAGATCTCTAAAACATTCCCCGAGTACTCCAATAATAAAAATCATCCGCATATTTTAGTAAGACAAGAAATCAGTTTTGAAGACGCTATACTGGTTATAACCACTCGAACTTTGTCATTTGCCTATCTCCTGATAAACAATTCTCGTAAATTGAAATCAATTTTGATTATTTGTGCAGTGATTGCGCAATATATTTAAAAAAAATAATAATACAATAGGCACGTTTTTCATACTTATTTGATAAATGTAAACATATATAATTTGCAGTGATTTCGTGACTTTGGACCTATTATCAATTTTATTGTATGACATATTTTATCAGAAGTCACTATGCAATGATATAAATAAATACTTCCTTACTGTCTGGACAACCTTTGGACTTCGAGATAACACGGCTATGTTTATATTTCAACTACTTAAAAGTTCATATTGCGAAGATTTTTCCCAGTACTCAAAAAGTACAAATCTATTACGTTATTGGTCTTCTCTTTCATCCATGGGCATTCTTTTTCAATATCACTATATATCTATATACATATATAATTACTAGTTGGGTAATAAACATAGTAAATTGAAGGTCAATGAATTAAAGAGGTAATTTACATCAATAAAACTACACATATTGGATGTAATGTTATGAATTTATTACTTGTAACAACAATAAGATTACATTACTAAATAAATCTTGGTACATATTGTACTTTGTTTTCACGATAAACTGAACATAGTTACATCAATACTACAACCAACCAAATTGTATCTACAAATAATGTACATAAATACATTTATAATGTGTATAGAGTATTGCAAATATAAATTACAACCGGTAGGGTTAACGTCTTTTTAACTTCAACATTTAATACTATGCAAAATAAATACAACTCGAGGCACTAGCATTCTACAACTTTACAGACATATTTGTATACATGTAGAAAATGTTACAAAAATTTTCCCTAAATTGTGGATCGGATCGTAAATGGCGTAGAATGTAGTACAGTAACATGTAATATCATACTTTATTGCAAACTAACTACAAAAAAAATAACATCTACTTATTCCTAGCGTTGATTCAATAAATAAGAAAGGATAATTTTTTACTGAATTATGATTCATTTAATTTGGTATTGTTTCTGGTAAAAATAGAATTGGCATAGCATCTACCAAAAACAATGAAATAATTTAAACATGGCAACACTATAAATGTCATAAATACTCTGAACCAATGATCAACAATAGCATGTATGTTTATACATTTCTAATACAATAGGAAATAAATAATACAGCTCACAATGTATCCTTAAAAGTTACAATTGCAATAATACAATAAATAATTCGCTTGCGAATACAAAGTAAGCAATTATGATTTAAATGATTAGTATTCGAAACAATCTAATGAGATTAAATAGAATGAAAATACCTAATGCTGTCGTCTGAGGCATTACTAATAAGCCTTATCACAACTCTCGCAAGGGTCTTTCATTGCGATGTTTCTGTTTAATTATTAGACCAGGCAACTAAGAAATTGCCTAAAATGTTCTAGATTATTCAAATGTTGAATATACCATTAGGCTTTTAGTAACAAAAAACTGTGATAGAGTACTATTGAAAATAGTAATTTGCCTCGGTACGTCAGCGTGAGATACTATGTAATACTGCGGTCTACTTCTCGATCATGTATCGTGGTATGTCGAACTTCACCTCGACACCGGCTTTCTTAGCGAGGGCGACGATCTCCGACAGCTGCACGACCAGCTGTGCCGCCTCGTCCAGGTCGTCACGCGGCACAATGCGCAGACCGGAGTCCGCTATCAACTTGCGGGCCTCGTTTACTTTTGTACCCTGCATCAACAACTATACATAGTAAACCGAGGCTATGTGGTATGAGTAAATGTTTGTCCATAATAATCTGGTGACTTTTGACATACTAATATCTTTGTTGTGGTATTATTGTACAATTATTTGCAACCATTAACTCAATTTATAATTCAAAAGTGAAACGTCATGGTTACTATTATTTTTAGTACTAAAAGTAAACAAGGAAAGCAAATTGTTTATAAGGTTATCAGCTTTGAACCAAGGCACTATAAATAATTTACACAGCAAGATTATAATTATTTTTTTTTATAAACTTAATATAACTAAAATATATAACATACTATATAGTGTTGTTTACCTGCAGACGGACAATCACTGGTATCTGTATGTTGAGGTTCTTGGCGGCGGTGATGATGCCCTCAGCGATCACGTCACAACGCATGATACCACCGAAGATGTTCACCAGGATGGCAGACACCTTCGGGTCTGACAGGATGATCTTAAATGCCTCCTACAACAGTAATAAAAATTAATTATAACATACTAACTCCGTCCGCACAATATTAGTAAGAGGTTCAAGCATATATCTGACAAGATTTTCTTACGTAAGGGAATCTATTAAAATGAAAGTCCAACGCATGGTGACATTATAAGAATCAAATATAAATATTACTTACGGATACAGCCTGCGCGGTGGCGCCGCCACCGACGTCGAGGAAGTTGGCGGGGTCGCCGCCGTACAGCTTGATGATGTCCATGGTGGCCATGGCCAGCCCCGCCCCGTTCACCATGCATCCAATGTTACCTGATATTTGTACATATTTAGTAATTAGAATAAACATATATAAACATTGTGTAAACCACACACTTATCATTAATGATGACACATAAGTGGATTTGGGAATTACCATTTTGAAATAGGAAAACTAAAGTCTTGACTAGTTTTTCTTATATCTGGGTTGTTAAGTAGTCTTTTGTTTGACAAATCATTTAAGGGTTACAAAATTGAAATTTTATAAGTAAACTTACTAAATACATACAAGAAAAAATAGCAAAGGAAAAATATCACAAATTTTCTAATGTGATCTTACCATCAAGAGCAATATAATTGAGGTTAAATTTAGCGGCCTCAATTTCCTTTGGATCCTCTTGACTGATATCCCTCAGAGCAAACAATTCTTTCTGTCTAAAATCTGCATTGTCATCAAAACGGAATTTGGCATCTAAGCAAAAGTCTGTAATATGAAAGATGATTAAACATACATTTATTTAAACACCAGCTGTCACCAGCGACTCCATCCGCGCGGAATTAAAAAAAAATAAGTAGTCTATGTGGTCTTCCAGACTATGTTGTACATCTGTGTCAAATTTCATAAAGATCCATTGAGCCGTTCAGGAGGTACTTTCTAACATCCATCTATCTAAACTTTTGCAATTTATATTAGTAAAATATTATTGTTCTGGTCTGGAGAAAATGTCAGCCTCATATAATTGAATTACACCAAATACTTATAATTATAATTTTAACTTACATTTGCCAGTAAGTGCATCCTCAGCATAAGGGTTCACTTCAATCAGTAGAGCATCTTTTTTTAAAAATAGATCATACATTTTTTTAATCATTCCATGTGCTTCCTCTGCATGATCACTGAGACCAATCTGTAACAAATAGTTAATACATTCAGTGTCACCTATTCACTCAATAAATGCACTTTTATACAACAGTTATGTAATGTGTTAAAATGTAAAACCAAAATAAAACTGATTTAAAATTTCATCATTATGACACTTTGAGAAAGATAATTGTAGTGTAATTTGCAACATTAAATGGTACAGACCTCAAAACATTGTGTGAAAACTCCTGAACATTTTGAAAGTTTAAACAAACAAAACAAAAAAACGATTGATATTGTGTAAAATGTTACCTTCTTCACAACTCTACATATTTGCTCATCGGTGATACCCTTCATAATATCAATGGGCTCATAAGTAATGGCATCAGGGTTCTCTGCAGCAACATCCTCTATGTTCACACCACCTTGTGATGACGCAATTATAACAGGTCCCTGTTAAAACACAGTATATTATTACATAACTCCAGAATGGTTGACAAAATCTGGCTGAGTTGAATATTACAGGTATATTCTGTTGATTAAAGGTAGGCAACTCTGCAAATGCAAATGTCTATGGGCAATGTCACTTTCCTTTTTTAGAAAATTATAGTGACCACTTGGTCAATTGCCACCTTTTGCTATTAACAGACATGTAAATCATAAAATACAGTTATGCTACTTACAAAATACTACTACTACTACTATTAATTTAAATTCTTACATTGAAGCTACGCTCCATCATGATTGCCACATAGAATTCCCTGCGAGGGAATTTTCTCTCAGTAACCATGACCATGTTGCAAATGCGGCCTGCCGCCCCTGTCTGTTTGGTCACCAAATATTGATTCAACATTTTACCAGCAATATCACCCGCAGTTTCTGGACTAAAATTATAAACACATACCATTACCATCAAAAACAACATACTATAAACAATTTCATATTAAGAAATAGAATTTGTTACTTCTACTGATAATACAAATTCTTACTTATCAACCATGCGAACTCCTCCCTTGAGACCATTTTTAAATGATCCCCGTCCACGGCCTCCAGCAAGGACCTTAAGAAAAAACCAACAGAATATATATATATATAGAATAAAATATATTCATGTACATATAATTTTATGAATCAAACACTGTTATAACTTTTTACTTACCTGTGCCTTGAGTACAATATCTTTGGTGTTAAGTTCTGTAGCAAACTTAACAGCATCTTCCTTGGTCTTTGCAACATTAAATTTTGGAACAGGTATACCATGGTCACGCAATAAAGTATAGCTGATGTATTCGTGGACATTTAGATGTCTGATTTGTTGTTTATTTGGTAGCCTGTTGCCTGATGTTGGGGCCAGTATCTAAATAAAGACAATGTTACAAAAGATTTATGCTTTTTTATTTATACATTACATATTAATAAAAACATATTTTTAAAGAATTTTTAGCAATGAGACCTTCTTATTGGATATGTATTATGTTATTTAGTGAATTTAAAAAACGGAAATAGATATCACAGCAAGTTAACTGATACAATATTTGTATCTAAACATCTTAGATAAAATAATAAAAAATAAACATTGTTACGTACAGTTGACGTAAGGTTGGGACAAGGTCAAATTGAACTAATTTTCTAAAAAGGTAACAATAACTTTAAAATTTTATTACATTTTCTATTGGTATTGACGTACGTAAGCATATGTATTATAATTACTTAAAGTACTACTACAAAAAGCAAATTTGTTTAATACATCATGAAGTAGCATCAATACCTAAATTATTATAACGTAAAATATATAATTAAGCTCAAATGATAAAATCTAAATTTGAATGTCAATGATGTAACTAATTTACCTTAGGTCCATTTTTTAAAAATAAATTTTCTACAAGGCCAAGAGAACGAGGGAGTAGAGTCGCCATTTTTCGTGCCAAACTATAAGTCCCAAGGTGTTCTAAGGAGCAGCAGCAGTGTTGCCTTTTTCTAGGCAAATTGAGGCTAAGCTAAGCTATTCTAATTTTCTATCAGTCAGAATGACAGAAACAGAATCAGAGATCAGGATCAGGGTCAGACATTGGTTGACATATCTAGGTATTGCTATAATAAATATTGAATAAAACCACAGATTTCATTGCTCCCTTTAATTATCAGATTTTATTTAAAGATTATATAAGTATAGATCACTGATTAACAAGTTGATTTTGTCAAATAGTTAATCAATTATCGACTAGTTGAAAAAAGCAAATTAAAACTTATTTTCGGTGACCTACCTTTATGACTCACACTTCCAGACACTGACCTCTATATATAAACGAATATTTATGAATTAGTGCTCCTAGTTCAGAGATGGGTGCCAAATTATGGAATGTATAGGGATGGTATGATACTTATGAATCTTCTCGATTGTTATTCCTATTGAATTTGTTTTTTTTTTGAGTTAATAAAAAAATAAAATAAGCAGTCTATGTTAATCTCGCAAACTTAAGCTAGGTATATTCCATGACCCCACCAACGGTTCCCGCCATTTCGTGGCGGAGGGGCTCTAGTAACCGTGAGGAGCACACGGTGAAGCTAAGAGGAACCAGGGCCTGGCAGTACGCGCAGGACTAGTCGCTGGGTCGCTGACAGGTCTAGCGCGCTAGCCGGAGGTGGACTAGGTGTTGTGGACGTGGAGAGGCCGCGAGGGCTGTGGGAGGGTACTGGTTTATCCTGCCCTCCTGCAGCTCTCGTGGTCGGACGTGTAGGTCCGCGCAAGCGGACGGTCGCCGGCTGGGTCGCGGAAGATTGCGCAAGTGTTCCCGTGACTCAGCCACATGGCGAGGTGGAGGGCCTGAGGGGTTTTAGTGGGTATGGCCGAACGACTTTAGGCGAGCCCCACACTCCCTGCGCTACTGCATACTTGGCCCGGCGCAGTGGTGCGGAACTGCATTTACCCTCGTATAAAAAAAGAAGGTATATTCCATGAAAAGTTTAAAGTCTTGTCAAAATTTCTCTTCGCTGATTTTACGATTACCGCTATAAACGCGAACTTGCGGTCAAAAAGATTAATAAGTGATAATTTCAGATTGTTAGATCTTTCTTTCCCTTAACTTAGGGAAGGCTCCGAGCCCCTCGGTGGGGACGTATAGTGAGCTGATGAAGAGAGAGAGAGAGAGATCTTTCATAGACAATCCATTTTTATGTTTAGCGTGGAACATGTACTAGCTTTCATCCTAAGCTAAATATATAACTGAATACTATATTTATTGATAATTCTATAAATATAACAGTACATAAAACTAGAACACTACACACTGGTTTTCGACTGCATGTACACTTGTACATAGACACATATTTATGTCATATTTTTTTATAACATAGGGCCAACAATATGTTGTGTAAATACAAGTGTCATTGCAGTCAAAACCCACAGTAACATTAGATATAAATTTAGTTTCTAATTAATGATTTTACAAATAAATACTTGTTTAATTTCAGACATACCATATAATTTATATACATAATAATATACTAATATAGGGAAATGCTAAACAAATTCATTGCAATTTCTAGTTTTGCACTATTTTCAAAACACTTTTGGTAATGTCTTTTGTTTGAATTGTTTGTTCAGCATTTTTATTTTTATCTTCTGTCCATACTCCATTTCCAGTAAAGTAATGTTTTTTTTCTAACAAATAAAGTACTAAACTTAACTTCTGAGTATCACTAAGTTTAGACATGTCTAAATGTTCGAAAGGGTGTAGTAGTAACGACTCTTTGTGGCATAAAATATTCATTGTATCTCTTATTTTATTCCAAGGATAAAGTAATATTGAACAATTCTCAAATACATCTTTTGGTGAAAACTTCTTTAGCAGTTGTTCAGCAACATATTTTATTTGCACCAGTGGTATATTGAGCCAAAACGGATGCCTTTTGAGTGTCTTTCTGATGTCACTGGCAGGAGAGGTATTTTGTAGAATTTCACAAATGCAAAATATCAAGTCTTTTGCCTTTCCCAAACGATCTCCATGCATTTTCTCAAATGTTTCATACTTAGAAAAACTACCTGATAGTATATTTAAACTGACACATTTTTTGTTTTGATCATATAAGTTCATAAGTCTTTTTGTAGTTTTTTTATTGTGATGTATCATTTTTAGAAAACGTGGATGATTGAAATAGGTTATAAACTCTGGTGTTTTCTTAGCATTTTCTAGTCTTGTTCTAATAGTTTCTGGACTCAAAGTGTAAATCTCAAAGCATCTTATCTGTGCTTCATTGGAAACATTAAATTCTTGTAAAACTTTTCTTATTTCAACCATATTTGAAAAATTTTTCATTGCTATTTTTGGATGTGATCTGATAATTTCTTTAATATCAATTCCACCTATAAATCTAAAATTGTAAATTAGATTTTTTAAATTCTCTGGGTCTGCATGAATTAAATATAGATTTGATTTAATTTTAAAAGTTGGCATCATTATTTGTGTTTGTAATATATTTAATGTTTCATTAATAATTTCCAGTGGACGGTGTTTAATAGTGGGATAGGTTTTTAAGCCTCGGTAAAATTCATCATTACTTAAATCTAAAATCAATTCAAGATATCTTTGAATTATTTTCAAACGAAGGGAATATAATGAAACATTGTTAACATCACCATATATCAAAGTTGTAAGCGATGTAGGCCACTGTGTCATATAACTTGCAAGTCTGTTCTCAATATTTAGGTAGTTGGAAATATAATTATCTCTTCTCAATTGTCCTATAGTTTTTTGTTTCACTATATATAAATATCTTAACAAGTATCCAGGTGTTATATTTCGCAGTCCACATTCTTCAAAAACCTTAAAGCGATATTTTAGTGTTACTGGTAATACACCAAATAATGCTGGGTTTGAAATCAATGTTTGAGCAGTAAACCCCAAGTCTTTGAGAGTTTCAGTCAATGTTATAAACTCCTTTTCGCTAATTTGTTTTAAAACAGGTTGTTTTAATTGTAAAAGTTTTGCTTCACACTCATCTATATCCAGATGTTTACATAATAAATACAATATATTATTCTCTGTAATTGTAGACATATTTATTCGATAGTTATGATTTTTACTTAGGATAAAGCGACTCAAAGTATAACTTTGTCTTAAAAACATTTTGGCATGATAAATATTTTATACTTCCTAGGAATAATTTTTGGTTTTATCCATATACGTTTTTTAACTCTGAAATAAAATGCATACTGCATTCACAATTTATCACATACTTCTTAAATAGCTACAAGAGCATAGTTAATATTTTCGAAATACTGTAGGTTCAGCGCCTGGTATCAGGTATCATTATATATAATTCAGAATCGGTATTCAGATTCAGGATTTTGAACCTTTTGACTTTTTTATTTTTTTTTATTTTATGACCTGGTAACAACCTTTTGAATTTATATCTGCCATCCAAAGAGTGTACAAGAGCTGTCAGAAATCAATGTCATCCAGAGACAACAAACAGACTAAAAATGCATCTATTTCCAAAGAACCAATTTTTTCAAATGTCCATCTATCATATTCCACCAATTAGAGTTTTATCATAAAAATTGACCTATCTGCATCATCATCAACTTGGAAAGTTATAATTTTTAACAACATTTCATTGTTCAACATTGGTAGTTACAAACTCTTTGCTAAGCCAAAGAGTATATAAAATGTAAAACTGTCAAAGTCATTGAATTTCTTTGAAATTGGGTGTTGTTTTTCTAAGATTGATTAAAGCTTGTATTTAAAGTAAATAATTTTTAACTTCATTCTTAATAATGACATCTAAATCAAAAACGGGGTTATTTGCCTTAGGGTTTTACACAGTCGCCGCACTGTTTATAATAATAGCATTTGCCAGTCCATATTGGCTTGTAACGGATGGTAAACTTAAAAATCCGAAGTTTGTAAAAATTGGTTAGTAATAAATATCAAATAATAACACTTCATTTATATATTTTATTTTATGCAGCATTTTACATGGCTATTTACATTACAATTCGGGAAATTCTTACACTTTTTAACCTTCACATACACAGGTTTGTGGGAAGTATGCTTCAACGGTTTTGAAGAGGTACACCATTGGTATGATACAGTATTTAAAGGATGTTGGTGGATATTTGAAGAAGAGTATTATATTATACATGACATACTTTTGCCAGGCTTCTTCATAGCCACACAATTTTTCTTCACAATTGCAACTTGCTGTGTACTTATTTCAATGTTTATGACATACATGTATATGAAGAAAGACAAAGATGATGACAACTATGTTACACTCTTAGTCACATTGGGCACAGTTCTTGTAATTGGAGGTTAGTATTTTATTTATTTCTTAGAAGCATAATCAGGTTGTAACACTTACTCTTAATTGAGCATTAAACCAATCGAAAATTCAATACTAAATGTAGTAGGCATGGATGTATATGTGTCAATATTTTCAAATAATTTAGTGGGGAATGTCTATCAATATCACCCAATACAATCTTAGGTATAGACAATAAAATTAATATGTTTGTTACAGGATTTGCAGGATTAATATCTGTGGTAACATTTGGTGCTAGAGGAGATGGACGAGACTGGATGCCCAACTGGGAACATAATGACCTTGGCTGGGCATTCGCCCTTGGTGTGATTGGAATTCTTTTTCTGTTCCCAGCGGGTATACTCTTCCTCATTGAAGCTCGTGTTCAGAAGTACAAAAAGCTCCATAACATGCAGAGCAGGGAACCATCTTCTCACACCATGCATGAAAGAAAGATTGGGTTCTCAGGTCATACTGACATATAAATTTAGAACATTACATAAATATTATTTTTAAATTATCCCATGGAATCTAATTTTATTAAGAGTGATATGTGGAAATTATTCCGTCCAATACTTTTGTAGCATTAATCTTTTTATAATTGTTTAATTTTTACTTACTAATTTATTGTAACTCTTTTAAACTGTACTAACATAAGCAAAATGTTATTATGATAAATATCTTATTTTTACTTTACATATAAATTAGTTGTATTTAGTTATAGTATAGTGTTATGACATAATTTTATCCTTAAATGTAGATTTTTATAAAAATTTTACAATAAAAGTAATCATTTTTATTCTAGCCTTTTTAATACTCTAACTCATAAAAGTTAGTTTTAATAAAATATTCTGAAAAATTTTCTGATATTTGAAAAGTATAGGGCACAGTAGTTTTGTTCATTAGTGCTGACTTGGCTGCCTCAAACCCTACAGATACACAATGAGATTCTTGAAAGCATGATAAAACACCATGAATATACCCACTAGAAAAGCAGTCTCCAGCTCCTGATACATTTTCAACATTATGTAGTTCTTTAACAGCATAATGGTGTACATTCAATTTTTGTTTTCTTGTATTATGAGGTATAGGAGCATGGGTAACAGTTATAACACCTTTCTTGCCCATTGTTACAACCAGTACATTAATAAATGGAGTTACAATCTTCGAGAGATTGATTATTTCATTAATATCCGATGCTTCATTGATGGTAATATTTGGTTCTAGAAACTTTGCCATGGTTCTTAATTCCATTATATTTGGCGAAGAATATGCAATTTGGTAGCGTTTTGAATGTAGAACCTTCGCGGCTTTTCTTCTGTCAGTAGGTTCATAAAAAACTAAAACAATAGAATAATAGAATGGGTATAAGTGTAATTTGGTTAAATGGTGATTATTTAAAAATGGCGCAGTGTTAGTATTAAATGCTAATTTAATTTCAAATCATTTTTCTTGGTTACTGATCGTTTTGGTTATCAATAATAATATAAAAATTAATGCTGGATTCGCCAAAAACTGTCAACTAACTGTTAATAGTTCTTCATTTACAGTCCTCTTTTTACTTTCTGCCTGGAAGACATTGTGCCAGTACAGTAGGAAAGTCTCACTGGCATGGCAGGGTCTGTATCGGGGGGATCCAGCGCCTGAGGCTGAAGGTAGGTCCTCCCCAATAGCGGGAGCTGCTTCGGCAGCTGACACAAGCGAGGTCGCGGACGAAAGCGCAAGCGTGCCCGTCTTGCCTCGCCATGATGCATAGGAGGAACAGAAAAAAAAAGGGTCTGGATGAGCTCATTGGCGCACTGATTTAGAGCGTGGTTTTCCTACTGTACTGGTATAACGTAAACCAGGCATAAGACCTTAGCTATGCTTTATACAAGTAAAACTGTATAATATTAATGAAATCGTTTAACTTTAACACTGCGGCAATTATAAGAATACGGAGTAATAGCGTTGATTTTTGTAGTTGGTAATGCAATACTGGTTAAATAATTTAAATTAGAAACGACAGTTACGCATTATTATCGATATCTATAACAAGATTATATAGTCTGTACTCAAAACCCAGATCACTATAAACGGATAGGCGATTGCTTGGTAATGACAGGTTTTGTTTCGTTCAGATAAAAAAGCGCCTGCGGGGCTAGACAAAGTGCGTTCGCTACGTCGCGATTCCATAACAATCTTCAGAAATGTACAGAACTGATAATAACGATAAGACACGAGACTGTCGCGAGTCATTTCCATACATTTTCGAATCAGGATCGTTTCGAAGCGAATGCAGTTTGTCTAGCTGTTGATGTTACGTGACAGTTAGCTCTATCTGTATCATTAGTTTGGATCCATACCACCACTATAAACCACTATCATCAGTGCCAAAATGGCGAAAATCAAATAGGCACAAAATAGTACGTCTTATAGCCAGTCCATATATAGAGGACAGTGAGCATCAGTTTTATATGCTCTTTGGTCTGTCAATTCAGTTTAGTTTAGTTGTCAGTTTGGTAAGTGGTTATTTTATTTTACAAGACTACGCCCAAACAATAGCCATCAAAATAACGATAACCAGGTACAATACGACAAAAAGTAACATTTTTAGCGGTGTGTTAAAAGAACCTTATCTGTGTCATAGTTAGTTACTAAATAATTACTAGAAATAATATTGTGATTGGATAATTTTAATAAAGGGTTATTACTTTGGTATGTTAAGTTCGAATTTAGGTTTTTTTAGTTTTATAATGTTTTCAATAGCCAGTCAAAAATATAAAATATTTTTTCATAGGGAGAGTATATAATGTTGTAAATCATTTGCTTTGATATGGGTCATTTTAAAAGAAAATTGATCAAAGTTTGAGAAAATTTAATATCATATATGAAAAGTTTAATAAAACATTAAATAAAATAATTGAACTGAAACTGTACAAAACACAAGTAATTTCGGTGTTCTTAAAAATATTTAAATCCAACTAGAAGTTATAATATATTTTCATCTTATAAGAATATACAGTAATGATACAAATATAAGAAATTCAGCAAAAACTGATCATAGTTAAGAAAAATTGTCATCCTAAAAAACTGAACTCAACTAGAGGTCAAGCAACTATTTTCCGTAATAAAATGTTTCTAAAATGACCTTAAGTTTGATTGAAATATTTTTTTTGTTTGTCTTGTGTTTCCCACTGTGGACAAGCGTGTGAATTCTTTGTCATTGTGTGCTGGGTGAATGTAATGTTTGTGTTGTACACCAAATGTGCTTCCCCACTTAGTGTGTGTTGTGCAACTTGTCAGTTATTCATCTCAGGCCCATAACCTTGCCTTGATTTAAGAAGTGTTCTATATTCTTACAGCATTGTCTAGTTTAGCAACTTAAAAGAACATAACATTTATGTAATCAGAAAACATTAATCAATCAATTTAATATAATAAATTATTGTCAGTGTTAATATTTCAAAATAAATATAAATTAAATAAGAATATTATATTTTCTTTACTCTGTTTAAAAAAAAAAGAAACTTAAAAATTATATTTATGACATATAATACAAAAAAATTAAGTCATTAATTAATCTAATTCACAGCTTGGTTATTTTAAAATTGAAAAATGTGTCCCCATTTTTTTGGGTTATCTTAACATTGTTGTTTTCCTTTTTAAACAGATACTAGGAAATAAAGTTTTAAGGTTGTTGTAGACAATGAAGAACAGAAGTTTAGCGGGTAACTGTGGCATTGCTGTATTCATAATTGCCCTTGTGACAGTGGCATTGGCATTCGGCACGCCTAGTTGGATTGTCAGTGATTCAAGAATTAGAGGCAATCAATTGGACAGGTAACAAAGTATTTTGTTTATTTTTATCAATATTGTGATCTTGTGGCTATTTTAATGCACTGGTATTAATCAGCAATTCACATTTAGGTTCACTCAAAATCATATTTTCATTGAACACAATTCACTGGGTATAAAAAATTTTCTTAGATTTTTATTCTTTCCCTCTTTTTCACATGGGTTATTGTAGTTTGCTCTTGTTTTCTTTAATGAGTTATTCTTATCTATAGATTGGGACTATGGAGTCACTGCTTCAGATCGTTACCTGATCCTTTGGATCAATACCAACGACGATTCTTTGTGGGCTGTAGATGGGTTTATGACCCATTCACCACAGGGTATGACCGTATATTGGGATATCTACTTCCAGGTAATAATCCTTTTCTCTTACATATTGTTCTTTGATATCTTTTAATACAAATTGAAGAGTGTATTGTTTTATTTTAGTGTTGTAATTTTTAAAGTTAGATTTATAAATAAAAAATATTATTGTTTTTAATTTCTTCCAAACGTTTTTCAGGCTTCATGATAGCAACACAATTCTTTTTCACTCTATGTTTAGTGGGAGTGCTTATTTCTACGATTTTGGTTCTTGTATTTTTCCTATGCTGTGGACCTGATCAAAATAGGTTTATACTAATAATCCAGAGTATAGGATACATAATGTTGGGAGCTGGTGAGTAATAGAATATATTGTAAAAATTAAAACATTTGTTTAAATATGTCAATTGTTTTGTTAAAAAAAACTGTTTTAATTTTAGGTATAAGTGGTTGTATTGCTGTTATAGTGTTTGCCTGTTTTGGGAATACTGAGGGATGGATGCCAGGCCATCCTAATAACTATTTTGGTGAGTAATTGAAATTTAGTCGTATAAAGTTATATTTAAAAAGTTTTTTTTTTCATCATTACTTTGGTAAGATACATTATCAATAAATTTTTATACATTTTATTACAGGTTGGTCATTTGGGCTTGCGGTGGTTGGATCTGTGGCTTGCATCATCACAGCAGCTCTGTTTTTAACGGAAGCAAACATTCAGTCAAAGAAACGAAACCGTTTTAAAGAGTCACAAGCACGTTTTGAGATGGAACACGAGTCTAAAGCCTAATATGGTTTTGGAAAAAACTTTGCAATTTTGTAGGCCAGTATGAGCTTACAATGTTAACCATTTTTATATCCACCAATTATCGAGGTAAACTGCCAGCCTTACGTAAGCTTTAATAATTTAAAAAGATAAGGCTTTCAAAGATATATTTAAATTTTAAGGACAATAATTCTCTTCATCTGCACAGATTATTATAAAATAGTATTTAAAAATGTACAACATAGATCTGTATTTGAAAATTCTAACAAAAACACAAATGACATAGATTATATACATATGTAGTTTATAAGTTTATATTTAATTCAATCAATTTTTTTTTGTTTAAGTTTAATAACATTCCACCTGTCAATATTCCGTCCAGGATTGCTTTAATCGCCAAATGTGTCTACTCTTAGTAATGTAAAGAAATCGTAGGAATGTTTTCAAATATATATTTAATTCATTTAGCAATTGGAAACTTTTCCATTGAAATATTTAAAGTGCCTTTAAAATTTAGAGTAAAAACAAATTCTATTTGTAAGATTATACATCTTTTACAATCTTTTATATGTTTGTGCTATAATATTTTATTTGTATAAACACGATATTTTGACTTTATTCCGTCCAATTAAGTATAAAATATTTTATTAATTAATTTACGAATAAGTGAAAATGCTGTATCGAATTTTTTTAATTTTCATAATTCTTACCCTAAGTAAGAGCTACTTAAAAAAAAATTATAGACAATAGACAGAAAAAAGTTTTTTTATGATTAACCAACTAATCGTCTTTAAACTAAATGTTAATTGCTAAAGTGTGATTGAAGAATGTTTTATCCATGAGCTCTCTTACAAAATGAGCATAAACAATGTTTTTGTTGCTGCTTATTTTGCTGCATGTATAAAATGTAAAAAAAAAGTTAAATCACATAAGAACAATGTCAAAAGTCAATACACAATGTAATTCAATGCTCCTTCCGGATGATCAGCAAATAGGTTAATTAATGAAGACCCTCTCAATGAGTTAATTATTCTTTTAACTCGATCATCTTAATAGTATACAGTCTACATCATTTAGAATTACTCCTCAATTAAAATATTGAAATGATCTAAATATCATTGTTAACGTAACAATCAATTTTATTCTACTTTTTATGTGTGAAGTTTATTAAGGTGTGTCTGGTTTTAGATTTTGATTTACATTTTTATTGAATAACAATTATACATCACTATGTATTCTTTTTTGTTAAAAATGTATTTTGTTTTTAAGGTAATAAAATATTTTCAACATTTAGGTTTTTTACTGCTTTTTTGTTGTTTGTTTTTATAGAAATAATGCGAAGATTTATTTAGTATACAAAGATAGCTGCTATTGTTGTAAGTTGCTGTGCTGTGTGGGGAAACCAGTCAAATGAAGTGTCGCTGAAAGTTAGATTAGGCAATGAACGTGCCCACAAAGCATCCGCCTTTGGTCAAATGTGCGTTATATTCCTTTTCCGGCCCTTGGGAAGATCTATGATGCAGATCTATTTTAGTCAATGATGTATGTCCAATACGACAAATATATAAACAGGATTTCCATTACCACCTTGGAGTTCATTTCGTTTTTATTATATGTCCAAAAATATATAATCTTTTATTTGCTGTGTACTCTGCGCCCCACGCCTATTTTATAAGGTCTTTGCTCCACACAAAAGAAAGAAATTGATCTGTCAATGTCAAGTAACCGTCAAAGTGGTAAATAAGTGAACGGATTGAATTTATTGTTCGAACGATAATTTAATCTCAATTTGTTTATAAAAAGTAACAGAGAAATACATAATATTTAATTATTCGTAAAATACTGAACTAATAAAATGACGGCTAATAACGAATATCCAAAAGCATCAAGTAAGTATGGGCACGCCCTTTATTTATAAACATTTAACAAATATTTTGAAATTTTTAATCGTTATCGATAAATTGCCTCAAAATTCGTAAAATACCATGCCCTAAAAATCTTCTTTTTATATTTTTCAGATGCCACTTTGATTGGTGCGAGTATAACGTATATTGGTGGCCTTTTTCTACTTCTATCATTTGCCGGCCCGTACTGGATAGAATCATATTCCGAAATGTTTTCGCCTTTCAAACATATGGGGCTATGGGAGTATTGTTTCGATCGTTTCAGATTTCCCTCGTTTCAATATGATAAGTTGTTTCATGGCTGTCACTACATCTTTAGTGAGGTAAAGTTAACTTTTCTATCAATTTATTGTAGAATTTCTTGTTATTATATTATTATTTTTCAATTCATTCGCTTACTGTATGGTATATCTTGTTAATTGTGTACAAATTTATCTCTTTGATTCTGTGATTATTTCAAGATTTTGATGTGAAAATTACTATGAATCTTGAGCTTTTGCCTATTTTTTGTATTTACTATTTCCTCTAAAGTAATTTTTCTTCTATTGTATCCAATTACATACAATTTTTAATTAAAGAAGTAGAGTCAAAAGTATATTACATGATTTATTTTCTAGGAGTACTATGTGATCAGAGAATGGCTCCTACCAGGGTGGTTGATGGCTGTCCAGGCATTTGTAACATTGGCTCTCATATTATCACTGTCAGCACAAGTGCTGCTGGCCTGTGTAATTGTGCGTTGGCCATTGAGGACAGTTCTATGCTATGAATGGATATTTGTATCCTCTGCATTTGCAATGGTTGCTATTTCAAGTAAGTTTTAGTTCATAATAACTTATGTTTGAGTAAATATAAGTCATGTTTTCAGTGAATTACATCCATTGTTCACATTATCATGATTTTTTTCTGTATTTTTTTTTAAATTGTGAAATTTTAGGTGCATTTTTATTCCTGGCTGTTGCTATATTTGGAGGAAACTGTTATCGCCGCAGTTGGTTGCTGTATCCATCATTCAATGTGCTGTCTTGGTCTTATGCATTTGCTGTTATTGCATTTATACTGTTTGGTAAGAATTGCAACATTATTTTTAACAGGATGTATTTTTTGTGTGCCTTTTTAATGCATTAAAAAAGCAAAAAAAAGGCAAAAGTAAATGTTTTATGTGTATAAGATGAATGGAATTGGTACCTGATTTCTTATTGTTTGTTTTTCTTTTATATAAATGTCATTTGAGGAGTAGACTTAAACATTTTTATAATGTTACTTGAATTATAAGAAGTAATTCAACCTCTCCAATGAAAATAATTATATCTTTAAAGGATGCCCTTAGATATTTAATTTTCTTCAATAGTTAGAATGGATTATGTGACAAAATGAATGCTTTTGTAGGTCTTGCAGCTATTCTCTTATTCTTGGAGGCGCGGAAGTTGTATGAGTTGCGTTTAGAGGCAAAGAACCTGGTGGCTCAGATGCAGCACAGCCAGCCTGAGCATGCCCTGCATCAGCTACGTGACCAGCTGCAGCAACAACAACAGCTCACTTACTATAGACATTAAGATTTTTATTTTTCTTACGTACATTTCAATGACATTTAGTTTGACACTTATGGCAAACATATTTGAAGAAAAGTGCTTGTAATATCTGCACTATGGAATTTTAATCTCTTTGGTAGATTTACTTTTTTGTACTTTTGTCCCACTAAATGTATGTACACTGATATGTGTAGTTAAATTTAGTTTTTTTTTCTACTATATTGATATTAAGGATTTATATCTATTATGTGTATGCTAATATGTTTTATTTTTAATTTACTTGAAAGCAAATACAAATATTTGCATTAATTTTCTTATTTACACTATAACTGTTTTTTATTCACAGTAGCTTCTCGTTTACATTTACTTTTACTATATTTAAAAGTCAATATTTTATACATTTGAAATTTGAGGAAAATATATGTCCTTTAAACATATTTAACCATCAAAATCTTTGTCAATTTTAATCGTAAATTTTAATGTCTTGTTCGCATTTGCCTTTTAAAAGATAAAATTTAATGTGCTATGGACTTTGTTCACTGTATGTTAACTCACATTTATACAGCAAAAATGATGTTATCATAATGAGCACAAAATTGACACGTTTTTACAAATTATATAAATTATTAAGAAATATAGGATAAGGAATATCTCTTCTATTTTTCTGGAACCATTTGGAATTCCTTGGCAAAAGGCTATACATTATAAAGATTGTTTAAGAGAAATTGTACTAATTTATTAGTAATTTTTTCTTTTTGAGACAAATTTCTTATCTTTAACAAATTCTACGATTTGGAAAGTATATATTTATGTGTGTTATGAATGGATTTTTCAATTTTAGTTTATGATCTTTTTTATACTTAAGTTAATTATGTAATAAATTGGCATTAAAACTACTTAACATCACTTAGTTTTTAATAACTTAAGATGATATAAAAGTACATAATAAGTTTATATTTTAACGTTTGAATCTCATAATATGTATTTGTGTTTGACATTAAAAATATTTGTATTAGATTTAAGTTACGAAATTAGCCGGTATCCGTCCAACTGAAGTGTACTTTAACATTAGGCTATTTTATATTAGGCTTAGACATTTGTAAGCACCTAAAAATTATCAATAAATTTTTTAACTTTGAATTTTATCTTTTTCCTTTAAAATTAGAAATTCGTAGAATACCAGCCAAATATATAAAGGAAATGTATTTTTATACTATACCCTCATATTTAACACACCTTAACTATTTCAGTTACCACTCTTTCTGTCGTTTATTACTATTTAATGGGTAAGGTTAATACGATTAAAATGACAATTAATTAGCATATTTAAAGATCATGAAGGTGTTAGTCCAGTAGAGGCGTTAGGGTAGGGCAAGGTGAGTCGAACATCCAGGGCATAAACGGGCACAGGTATCTTAACTGGCGCCTAACTTTGGAAGATTTCCCCGGACACCAAAAAAGGGAGGCGCTGCAGAAACCGGCCCTGCTTGTGTCAAATATAACAAAGCTGTAATTAAATTCATATTCTCACCTGGTTTGTTCAGCTCATGGCACAATTGCAGTACGTAGTCCATTGTAGTTTGAGGTACGTTGCCGTCCAGCACAACTAAAGGTGCCTTTTCCAATGTTTCAATATGTTTGTCAACCTAAACATGTTTTACGAAATAGCTTAACCAAGAATCAATAAAAAAATTAATTTGATTAATATATGAATACGTAAAAAGATAGGGTACAGAAAGTCGCAATGGACCGATAATATGCCATTTTATTTTAAAAAATACTATTATATAATTACAATAATTACTTGTTTCTCACCATTTGTGTTGTTATTTGATTATGAATATCCATGTCACCGAGACCTAAAAGACATTCGCCTTTCGAGTCGAAGAGCACTGAGTACATTGAGGTCCGCGCGTTTTTCACAATACACCCTATAATAGATAGCATCGTTTTATGATAACCATTATATACTGAGGTCAGATTTATCATATATTATTGCTACCGACTGCTATTCATCGAAATTTTGTACTAAAGCTTTTGCCGCTTATATCCGGCTTGTGAAGTACCAGATTTCATAAGTACAGAGCTGAGAAGTTTGAAATGAAATAAATCACCGTCAAGCAATAGTCCAGGTGCTATATCAGCCAGATATCGTCCGTCCGAGTCATCACCGATAGCAGTAAGGAGGCGCGCATTGCCTCCGCGGAGTCGCCATAGCGCCTCCGCCATGTTGCGCCCTACACCGCCCCCACACTGCTCGGTAACACACGGATGTGTACTGCCGTCCATCTACAACAAAAGATAAAAATACTGGCCGTAATAAGTTATTTATAATTTTTCTCAGTTGTTTTGATAGAGAGATTTGGGTGATACCTCTACTACCTCTACCTCTCTCTTCCTCTTAAAAATCTCTCTAGAGTTGTTCGTTAATCATTTAGTTCGCAAAAGTTATCAGGCTTGCAGGGCTGTTGCTGTTTCATGAATAAATTCCATTTACCTTCCATTTCTTTTTTCTAGAAATAGGGCATAGAATAAACACGACAACAGACATGGAATTCATTGTAACTAAGACGTTCCATTTCACGTTAGTTTCATAGTTTTCACAACTAAATAAGTACATAGGTTGCGTGTTTGATCTTAACACATTTAAATGCGATTTCATATGTGCCAATTCACATCAACATCCAATTATAGAGACGGTCACACCTAAGCGCAGTATTGACATATATACAAACTGCACGCAATAAAATGTGTTTCAACTCAAATCAAGACATTATAAAGCAAAACTAAGTGATTTTTTTTATATACGTAAAGCTTGATGTTATAATACATATTCTGATAACAAAAAAGCTTTAAGTTTGTAAATCATGAAAAAATAGAAATAATGCGGATATAGTTGGAGGAAAAATATTCCTACAAGAAGGTCATGAAAATGTACAATTAGTAGCCGTATTCGAACACAAATTTATTACACAGGAATAACAGAAAACCTTATGTATGCCATAAATTTCAATGAGTTATACAGGTCTCAAGGTGTCGAGTATGCCAATCGCGATGCTTTTTCAAGCTGTTGGATTGGTAGATATTTAGTGCGAAATACCTTAATACCAGGTCTGCTCTTTATTATTAAAGTATGAAACTAAATGCAGTACAATAATATTAGTTATTTAATCAACTCAAAAACTACTGGAGCGATTTAAAATTCTTTCTCTTTACAATGCTACAGTACTTAAATATCATAAGTATCCGAACAGACATATATAAACTGAATATTATCTACAATATGCTTTAAAGTAAATGTCCACCCGTGCTTAGCAGGGTGGGACCGCTAGTATGGTATAATTTATGTTGGATTACAGCATTGCAAGCCATTGACTTCACCAATGCGATGCTATCGTTCGCCGGCACGCAACCACAACTCTAACGTATACTGAACTATGCAACCTGTGTATTGTTTTTGCACCTATAGTAAATAAAAATATAATTTATGTTGCGCTGAAGCCAAAAGTATTTAATTCATGTAAGTAGGCTACGAGAATATATCGCTGGTGCCACTGAATGAAATAAATGGCCTACACGCAGACGTTTGCCTTTGTAAATTAGGTTGTTACATTCAAACAAATTTGTACTTCCGTATTAAATAAAGTAGATTATTTATGTAATGGTAGAGTCAAGCGACATATGTGTGTGTCTTTATAAATGTTATAAGTGTCTTTATAAATAGGAAAATAAACGCTTATACAACGTTTAACGTATATCGCCTTTAGATGATTCCCTAATTAGGACTTTCGGCTATTTATTAAACAAGTGGCCACCTAAATTCGCCGAAATAGCAAAGTGACCGTTGCCCATGGAAATCTGCAATTGCCAATGCCTTTCCTAGCTTAAATCGACGAAGGAGGAGACCAAAATAAAGAGAACATCTCTCCTTCTTATGCGTCTTCTATTCTATCAAATCCAATACCCGTTTCCATCCTTACCATAAGAGAATAGGACGGGGAGGGAAAGAAGACTAAGATTATGCCTACGACATTCAACAGTCGTCTGTCTTCTGTTCCTGCAACGGATGTTGTTGTTGGCGTCTACCATTATAGAGTTAGCATTGAAGAAGAGAAGTAGGCAAGAAATTAGATTATGTTGTATTTATATTACGTCATCTCATTACTTAAAGTCAAATTAAAGTTTTTTTTAAGGTTTTTAATTCTTCTCAAAATTAAAAATTAAAGTGCCTTTTACGGTGTAAAAAAAATATTACTAACAAATTTGTTAAGAATCCAACTCCATTTTTTTAAAAGCTTCCGCTTCCGCAGACTTCAAGTCCTTCATAATTAATTTACTGTTGAATTTTATTAGTGTAACTTTATACTCGCTGATACAATGTATTTTTTAGATTTTTATTAAGCAAATCACAGTTTCGTAAATTAAAAAAAACAATTAATATTAATCATCTGAGAACTGCAAATTCTGTGTGTTTACGAAGTGAAATATTTCACCGAAGTAGTTAGGTATCAATCGATATTACATTCGCAGTTAACAAGGTGAATGTCAACAGTTTGTCCGATGTCGGGGCCTCGTTAAAAATTCACAATCCTGCACTGAATCTTTTTCGAACGTACAAGGATTAAAGATATAAAAAAAACTCAATATGACATTATAATAATAGTATCACTGTATAGAATATTTATTCAATCCTACTAGAAATGATTGATTATTGATCTTTGCTAAGTTTTAACAATTAAAATACGTTTAACGTAATCAGGACAAAGTTTGGGCTGTTGATGGTTTATGTTGTCGTGTTGGACACTTTAGAGTATCAAGTTACATTTTAATGATGCCATTAGACGAGCTAAATGGTGCCACAATCTGTACAATGATGAATGTATTTAATATTTGTTTTTGATTTCAATACATTCGCTAAATACTAGTGCGCGAGCACTCAGCACGAGTAACTAATTAATTACATACTTTATTACAATTAAGGAGATTATTGAGTGATTGTCACGTTTTAGATCACTACTACGCAAGTTGTCTATTGTTCGTATCAATTTAAATTAGCAGTAAGAAAAGACGACTTAACAATTTATCTATATAATCCTGACAGTCCATTGATCGAAAAAGATTTAATGAAATAAAGACGAAATATATTTAAAAAATTATTGATGTTACTATGATATTAAATTTTATTATCGTGACCGTTATCTGCTAAAACAAATACCATACTTGACATTCCAAATTCTGCTCCGTAGCACTCGTAGGTTCGTAGCAACCCTAACGTCGTAGCAAGCTACGTAACGTAGACCAGTTTTTTGATAATTGTGTAAATTTTTTTTCGCTATAATCTAAAATATATAAATGTACTTGTATCGATATACACATTGCTGCAAACAAAGAGCCACTTATTAGTTTTCCCCAATCCAATTTAACATGTATACAATGTAACTGGGGAAATTTTCTCGGCCGATTGAGACCACGACTATATTGGAAACGCGAAAACTTACTGATTACATTTGTATTGTACTAAACAGTAAACTTATTTCGTTATTGATGAAAAAACGCGCAAATAAATACCAATCTGTGATATGAAAACTTGTGTATTTCGCAGTTATTATTTAGTATTAAAAAGGAACAGTCAGCTGAGAGCATTCATGATATGTTTGTTGAAGTTTACACATTATTAAAAATCACGATTACAAATCGGAGTTAAGAACACTAAATTATTTTTAACAGTTCTTTAAAATATTTAACTTGTAACTTTTTGTGGCTAAACAAATATTTGTATAAAAGTGACACGCATCTTTTATAACAAAAAACCGGAAAAGTATAACTAACTTAATGGCTAGGTACTTAAAAAATGAAAGTGCTGAATCATGTTACTGAATTTGTTTAACTTTTTTGCACTTTATATGAATTATCTGCCACGTAGGTTCCATACTTTTTAAAAATGTGCATAATATCTTTTTAAAAGTATAACGGATTTCATAATTTAAATTTTATACCATTTAATAGTTGAAATTGGTTGAGATATATCACATGTGCTAACCCCAGAATGAACACGATCGTCAATAATGTCCAAATAGTTCTCAATGTACAAAATCCACAATGTAGACATGTAAACATGTCTGAAAATACACCGGTGCATTTTAAAAGCTCCCTGTCTAGAGCTTAGTCATGTGAAAGCTCGCTTTTATAGTGATCGGAATCGTTTACGATGTATTGAAAGCAGAAGTAAGAAAGCTCCGGCCGTAACAAGAACGGCACACGTTCGCGAAGCCTTCAAACGCTGTCTGCCGAAAATTCCCTTCATTACATTATTCGATATTGATTTATAGATTCATAGAGGAAAAAACAAATGTAGTCGAGGAGAAATTTTGAATTGAGATTTAATTATCTTGATTATTTACAAATAGTATTAGGACAGTAAATAGTTGAGTTTTTCAATGGTATTGCAATGTGGGAGGGCGCCAGGGCCAGGGGGCGGCGGTATCGAGCGTGGGCGCGCCGCCCCAGCGACGTGAAGCCACACAGTCCAGTCTGCCGAGCGCCACGGACCGCGCGCCCGCCGCACCGCGAACTTTATTCTATACCCCGTACCCCTTATTCGGTACTACAGTCGTCATATGCCGGTATATATCTGAGTGTACGATACATGTCTCGAATCACGCCTTTCCATATACACGTGAAAAGGCCACAAAACACAAAGGTCGACCGGTAAAGTTTGGTACTGGCAACACAAGAATAGGATTTATTTGTGCGTTAAAAATTAACATGATTAGTGACAGTAGAGTGGTGTTTATTGAATAAATCTGCGAGTAGGCGGCGGCACAGCGGCTACATCATGCTACGAGGTATTGTATTGTTACGGCGCTTACGAGATAATTAAGAATTACTGGGAATTTGATTTTAATTATTTTCTTTAATGAATTAATGTTAATAATGTAAGTTATTTACCGAAAGACGTAAAGTATACGTTCTAATTTTGTTTGATGAATCTACAATCAATAAAACGGGCAATTTAAGAGCCTTTTTTATTACTACACGTCCGTTTAGCTACTAATTGACATATTGATCGGTGTATAATTTACCCTTTAGTTAAAGTATTATTATAAAATCTTTTGTTTTGACTCTATTTAAAAATAATTACATAATGCTATAACTTTTTATTAACTTTTTATAACGATTTACTAGATGTATCATTTTAATTTTCGGCTTATTGGATTTTTATATTAAATTAGGACTTTTGTAAATAGATTTCAACACATGGTAAGCAAAATTATGACATTTACATATAA